GTATTAAGAATTATCATTCCTATCATCTATAAAAATGTACTTTAAAAATAATATTTTTAAAAGCTTCTGTAAGTTGTAAAATGGGKTTTTTTTTCCCCACAAAATGTATTTTTTGCCTAGCTGGTGCCAATGCTGACTCTCCTAGACTACTGATGTGTGAGGTTTTCTTTACCACTTTTAGTACATTTTAAAATTTTAACTTCATAGCTTTTAAGTCTAAGCTATTGCAAAAGGCCCAAGTCATGTCAAGATTTACTGTGGAAAAGGAGCCAGATTTTTATTTTTGTCCTCTGGGGAAGTTTATGATAGAGTGAGATAAACATCCAAAATAGTTAAGGTTGTTTATCCTGCATCACTAAGAAGACATTCTTGACATCACTTGTATACAATTGAGCAGGGGAGCTGCTCAATCAGCACTGACAGAAATCCAACCCAGATCACCCAGCCTCGGGGCATACAGACCTTACTTCAGTGTGATAAAATCTGCTTCTGTTGAGATAAAACCTGAACTGTTCACAGACCTCCTCCAGTCACAAGGCAAATTTTGGAGCATAAAGGCTCCTCCTGCAGTTGTACTCCTTCCAGGGAATTATTTCAGGACACTTTACCTCACCTTGACATGTATCTGTAGTGTCTTGGGGGTTGCGAGGAGGAAGAACCTTACAAAACAATCTGGTGTCATGCTTGTCTTCTGTAATGACTTGTGTATCAGTTCCAAATCTGCAAGTCTTAGATCTGGAGAGCAGGAATCCTGGAAGTTGCCAGCAGGTAACTCAATCCACACAATATAGAAATTATTCCTGTTCTTTTTTGACTCTAGTTTAGTAAAGTCTGCCTGAAAGTCACTTCCCTGACAGTAGGAGGAGGGAGACATGCTGGATGTAAAGAGACTGGGAAGGCATTTCTCTGAAACATTTGGAAGTACCAGACTTGCAGTTGACCAGGGAAGAAGCTAATAAGGGTTCTTGGCTGTGTTGATCAATAGTGCTSAAATGCACTTTGTCCTTCACGTACGCAGCAATCTCCTAGGTTTGGTAGTTTATATGCTGTTCTTCGCACGAGTATTGATGGCAAAGGTTATTCCATGTATAGAAAGCTTGATGTACACTTTAAAAGCTGCTCTCATCCTGTCCTGCAGGAACAAACCCCATGAACATGATTTTTTCTTTCCCTGATTCTTATTTCATGCACATGTAAGTGACAGCCCCTCACTGCAGAGAAAATGTCAGTGATTTGCAGAGCAGGATGAGTTCTTTGCTGGTAGATGTGCTAGCAGCAGACAGGCTGAGGAACTCACTAATAATCAGGCTGGAGTCAAGGAAAGCTGGAGCATGACTCACTTAGGAATGCTTTGTCTTCCCCTAATTGCATAATTACCTTAGAGAGCTCACTGGCCATTTGGCATAGASGTCATGCCTGTTTCCTTTGAGCACAGGAATAACTCCTCCTAGCTTCTCCTAACAGGATAAAAAGGGGATGTGAGGAAGACATATGGCCATGGCCCTGCTTTTCCTCTAAATAATCCAGGAGCAGCATTTGTGCACAATGAAGTCCTTCATGCTCTGAAATGAGGATGCCAAAGCTGACCATTATATAGCATAAATCAGCACTTTCACGTTTTCACTGAGACTGGATCTGTGTAGTGTGATATTCTGGGTTCTTTGGTACCAGTATGTGTGACATCCGTGTTCCAATAAACGAGGTTAAGAAAGAGTAATGGGGTGCCACAAGAACAGGAATCTTTCCCACTCTACTTGTATGCTGTAGAGCTAGACTGACTGCTAAGCAAACAAAACAGAGATCTCCCCAACACCTTGCTCTCACAAGCAATAAAAAAAGAAGATATGGGTAATACAAATGCTTATAAAGTGCATATAAAAGCAGATCGCAAGCTGAAGAAAGGGACCTTAAGATCCTATGAGACAAATGGAAAATAAACGTGCTAGTTGCACGAGTAGAGCTAAAGGAAGGTTTTCTGGAGAATTCTTCTGGACCTCCAGCAAGCTCAGCAGTGCTGTTTTCAGGGCTCATCCCCTCCCATGTATAGAACTGATTACATAAATCTGCAAGGTGCAACAAATGGAGAAAGATACAATTGAACTCCATGGAAAACTAAGGCAAATATATTAAAGTATTGCTATCTTTATTTCTCCTTGTTCTGGAGGGTGGGTGGAATCTGTGGTCCCTTTTCTTAACCATTTTGTTGATGCTATCCRACAGTACATTTGGAACATAGAATTCTCCTTTGCAAATTGGTGATTGCAGCCAAACTTTCATCCCACTCTCCCCTTCATTACTTCTATGAATTCTCCATCCTCCACTGCACGCTGATGCATCTTCCATTCACAGGAACTAAAGCAAATTTTCTCCTGTTCTCACAGCTCACCAGTTACTATCCTCTAAGTTACGATGGGGTTTACACCCACTGGGCTTGTGAATGAAAATACTTGCAGCTGCTATACTTCATGTTGATCCTGATACTGTCAGTGAGTTTTAGAAATGCACACAGGATGCCTGCCTGGCTGSCCCTGCAAGAGTTTGGCATGCATAGGAATCCAAGTGGTCCAACGCATCTGTTACTGTAACCTTTTGGGTACATGGCCTTCTCACTAGTGTGCCTGGATTGTCAAGAGTGTTTAGGAACTCATGAYAGTTATATCTTTCCCTTTTCTCAGTGTCTTTTTAAATTGTGGGAAGTGGTGCAGTTAAATGCTGGCTGAGGTTGCATTAGGTTCCACTTTTTCTGAGAACTCTGCTTAGACAGTTTCCAAAGTGAAAGTTTTTGCAAGAGAAAACAGCTGTAAGACACCTCCAAGCCTGACTGGTGAGTGGAACTATTCTGATATAAGGAGTGTATCACTCTAAAGGGAGTGAACTGTTGTAAGGAGAGGAAGGAAAATGAAGTATCTTGATTCCTCAGCTGAGGGGGAACTGGTCTGCAGTTTATCAAATCAAGCTAATATCCAAGACAGATTGTATTCTCATGGATAAACATCTCAAGTACAGACTTGGAGTTACATGTAACTTAAGCAGCTGACTTCAGAGGAAAATCAGGTTCTCGGCCCCAACTGCTTTTGTTATCAAACAAAAAACAGGGGACACCTCTGTTCTTTTCATGCTTTTTTTGAATCATTTTCCTGGAGAGTTAAGGAGTTAGCACACCACAGTGTGGGTAGCTGCCCTAGGGATCAAGGAACACCAGACAAAGTCTATAATAAAACTGCTTGCATTAGCACGGCGGCAGAGGAAACTATACAGAAAATGCAGTCCAGGAAAGAGTTCTTAGAAGATGAAGTAGGGATTAAGCCAGAGCCTATTTTACCATTTGCTAAAACACTCAGTGCATTTGCCTTCATGGGTTCTGCATTCCAGAGGACTTCATGCTGGGTTAATAAAATCCCTCTCTTGTACAGGCTTTGGARACTCAGACAGCCACTGGCTGCCCATATGGCAGAATTTGGCTATTGCTGTTAGACAGCTGCAGGAAGTTAAGGACAAGAAACGGGAGACAGCACCAAAATCTTATGGATATGCTGACACCAAGAGAGACACATGGCTTTGCCTCATGGCAGGAGCTTCCAAARTATGTTCCTCATCAAAATGCCAGGATCCGCTTTAGTTCTTTTCTTTCAGGAACTGTAATTTGCACTTCTGCTTTTCATAGGTGATACGCATGTGATATATGTGTGTGATTTAAAGCCTCATACACCCTGAGCTTAAGTTTCAAATGCATTTTACAACAACTAGCACACCTACAAGAAAAACAGCAAAACACCCCATTTCTGTTGCTCACAAACTTAAAGGAAGATTGAGTTTAGTGCTCTTCCTAGGGGAAGAAAGTACAAGCTTCCCTGTAACCCAATGCCAAACCACTGCTCTCTGTTTTGAGTAGCAAATGCCATTCTTACTGCGTCTGAAATCCCAGACTCCGTTTCTTTTCTCAACATGTAATTGTGTATTTTGGTACTGTTCTCAAAAACCAGCTTAACAGAACAAAGGAGTTATCTTTATGAGACAGCCAGGGAAACRCACAAAGAACAGGAAGATGCAGCTAATCTAAATAATGACATTGAAAACAAAATAGCTATTGGGCTATAAATACACAATATGAAGTAAACATCATTATTTTTATTAAGAGAAATCACAGACTTAATTCGTGGGGATAATGTCATCTGCTGTTTCCTTAGACTTTAGTTCTTATTTTTTCAGTCAATCCATAATGCAGGATTTCCTACTTTCTTCAACTTTTTACAGAATGAACTTTTGTACCACTTCTTTTGGAGAAAATGGCAAAACTCATAAATGTATGTTTAGGAGAAAGAACAGATTTTCTAAAACACTAAAACTGCTCAAACTGCTTGGTTTTGAACTGTGCAAATACATGAATTCTTACAAGGCAGGAAGGTAAACATACACATGACTCCGTTAATTAAGACAATACTTAGTTTCCTGCAACACAAAGGAATTTTCTTATTTAGACTAAGTCTTTAACGATTCAGTCTCCCATTGTGTGTATGTGGGTGTGCAAAGCAACCACCTCAATTTCACAAAAAAAGGTGCAAGAATTGTTTCTGACCTGGTGAGYGAACGCGAAGGAATTAAATAATCCTCTAAACCAAAGCCAGAATCAACTTTCTGAGCGCCAAGCTCAGCCAGTCCCGMCACCTCACTTTTGGTAACACAGYCCTAAACTGAGCWGAAGCCTGATTCACGTGCCTTTTTTTTTTCTTTTTTTTTTTTTTTTTTTTTTTCTTCTTTCCCTGGGGCTTGTCTTGTTGAGTGTCGTGGGCAGGAAACGGGTCTGATCTGTTGACTTAGAGGATTTAAAACACGCACTGGTGTTTCCCCGCTCCCAGCCCTGACCCGCACCCTGCTCTGAATCACTTCCCCGGCGGAGGGAAGGAATGTGCGAGAGCCAAGGGCTCCCGAGTGTCCGAGCGCTCCCGGGTGACACACGGCAAAACAGCGGGGCACAGACCGCTCCCGGGGCTCAGCTTTACCTGCTGGCGGGCGAATGGCCGGGGGGGATATCCTGCACAAAGCTCTGCTCCATGCCCGGGATCCTGGCCGGGCTGTGGGGATGGTAGGCTGTCAGCACCACGCTGCCCGAGTCCTTCATCTCCATGGTCATAGGCGCATGTCGCCGCGCTGCTGGGGACACAAGGGACAGGATGCGCTGCCGGCCCGGCGGGAGGGACGGAGGGAGGGCGAGTGACCCTGTCACACGCACCAGCCCATGGCCTGGCTCGCCACTGCCGGCTGTCAGCAGAGCTGTGCCACCGAGACACGGCTCCTCTCCCTGTCAGCAAAGCTGAATTAGCATATATTCAAAAACACCGCCCACAAAACAACCCACGGGGAAGTTACTACGTTCCTAGGAAACGAGAAACTTGAGACAATCCGGCAATCCCGCACGGGAGGCTTCCTCCCTGAACACTTCTCTACTTCCCTTTTCTTTTTTTTCCTTTAACAGCAAATTTGTAGTACTCCTGCTCCTGAATTAGTCTCGTCTAAGTGAAACTATTTTCYGGTTATCCCGAGTGGAGAGCGCGACTCAAACAGGACACATGGTTTGGTGGAGCAGGGAGTCTTCCGAGGGATGCAGAAACCGAGTGAGCTCTGCTCCGTTYAAAGGAGCAGGAGCTGTGATTTCCTACATGCGGATCATTTCTATGGCGGGGAACTACACTTGGTGTCTCCTGAAAATAGGTTAAGCTTTTGTTTTGCCTGATATGGCTGCATACATAATTAATAAGGTACGGGGAAATGAGTGCATTATTTTTAMAACAGTGTGTGTTCATCTGGATACATTCTCTAAACGAATACACACCAAGATGCTTGATATTTTTTAATGATTTAACTTGATCTCTGTATGTTAATTAAGTTGCTTCTCACTCAAAAGGAAACGATCAAACAAAAAAATCAAGGTCTGATTCTCRAGGAATACTCAGAGAAAACTCTGTAGGCRAAGTAAGAAAGTTCACACATCCCTTTATTTTTCTCTCCCACTTCTTCAGTGTTTGGGTGGGTTTTTTTAGTTTTATTTTGTTTTTTTGTTTTTTTTTTTTTTTTTTTTTTNTTTTTTTTTTTTTTTTTTTTTTTTTTTTTTTTTTTTTTTTTTTTTATTAATGTTTCTGATAATTACCAAATCCTAAAAACTTTTCCTGACTATGAATTCATGTGAAGGATGTCCCTAATTTTACTCCATGGGTCACAGGTCTCTGAGCATCTCCTGAAACACCAGTCTCTGTGTGCCTTTGTCACAGCTGCTGGTGGCCACAGGAGCGCAGGTTCTCTATATAAAATGTTTGTGGGGCTCCTCTTTCGCATCCCACTTGAGTGAGGGCACTCTCTCTAGCACTGCTACCTAAATTACACTGTCAGTCTCTCCAGCTGGTGAAGTAGCTGGTGAAGTAGTTTTGAATCATAAAATGATTCTTCTCACCTTCACCTTCCCCCTGAACTGGGTATCCTGCCTGGAGGGACACAGAAGTTTCGGTCAAACATGCTGCTGCGACTCATGTAGGCTGTGCCCAAGTTAATTTTAAATTAGCCAGCCTAGGACACTGATAAAGGTGCACTTGGCAGCACTTCTTGCCAGACTCACCCAGGAAGCATAAATATTTGAACATACAGAGCCTCTAAGCCTGCTCCTGCTATGCTGTTAAGATATCCCGGATTAAATATTTTAAGGCCAGGCTGCCCAGGATAAAATCATGGCTGCTTACATGGTGGCATGGAGGCCCTCTGGGAGCCTCTGTGCAGCCATGTACCTGTGTTAGAATTGAAGGAGAAGGCTCTAAAGTAACTCTGGAAGCATCACTGACTGCCCATGGCATCGGGACCAAATGGTATGGTGTTGCCGGTGATGGCTGGGGTGAATGAAATTACTGTGGTTACTGAGGTGTTCAGAATAGGGCCTGAAAATGTAAGAATGAGACCATCATAGATCTCCTATCCCAACTCTGTGGAGCACTGACTGAACTCCAACCTGCTGCTGCCTGGCTGCTGCATGACCAGGGATGCTGCTGCCAGCGTCATCATTTTCCCCTCCTATACTGGTTTTACATTCTCCTTCCTGGACCAAAAGGTGAGAAGTTCCCTCCTCTGATGAGGGGGAGTAAATTCCAAATAGAAATTTCTATKTGGCACAAATGCAAATGGATATTTTGAAAATTAATCAGCCAAAATGCATATATCAAACAGATATGAAAGAAAAAATTGATAAATATGTGTTATAAAATATTTGCTGGAATCCTTTAAAGACATTCTTCACAATTCACTTCAAGAAATTAAACACCTGAAAAAGCACACATAACAGAAGACACCAAACATTACCAAAAAGGGAGTGGGATTCTTTTAGGAGATCATGGTGCTGGTAAAACATTGGCATAATATCAGGAAAGTATTTTTTCTCTCCTTTCTGTCATAACACCAGCCTTTTTGCAGTTCCATCAGCCACAAAGTGATGATTATGTGCTTTAAGCTATGTGTAGATAAAGCCCACAGTAGAAATGCAATATATTTTTAGTATTTTTTTATTTCCCCTCTTTTCATAATAAAAAAACCTCAAACACCAAAATTACTTAGAAAGTATACAGATACAATCTCAATAGAAAAATACATATAAAGAAAGGAGGCCAACGTTTATTAAATGGGATTTTCTCTCTGAGAAAAATAAACATGGAAGATTTTATTTGGAGATTTATAAAGTGCTGATGCACAAACTGGAGGCTTTTATGGAAATGGCAAACTGTTTGGCACAAGTACAAATAGATATTTTGAAAACTAATAATCAGCCAAAAGACATATATCAAACCGAGAGCTAAAAATGTTTATATGCCTAATGGCTCTTGGGGTTAGACATCTGCATATTGTTGAAACCCCAAAAATATGCTAAATCAACTAGACATACACATCAGCCTTTAAACAGAGTTTTAACTGGGCTAGTGATCCAGCCATTAGAAATGTGTACAAAATAACATGAGCCGGACTCCTCCTTCAGTCCTGCCTGTGCAATTCTGTTCCCAATGGAGAAGTTATTCTCCTGGTTTAAAAAGAAGCAAATTGGAAAATATTTTAATCCAACATCGTTGTGTTTCTTCAAGATTCCCTTGAGTACTAGATTGTGAAGTACTCAGGACTATGACAGTTCTAATTGTTTTTTTGAGATAGTTAATAGCTTTCTAGATCTTTCAAATAGTATAGAAGTGCCATATTAGTGAAATAAAAGATGTTGTGAGGATGCTTTTGGTGGAAAGCAGTAAAGTGAATGTGCAGCGAGAGAAGAGCATGTGGAGAGTCTGTGGCCTGGGATCCCACAGGCAGCTGCCTTGGGTTTGGTAGGCAAAAGGYTTGTGCTTTCAAATTTTATGTTGTACTTGTGACAAGGGGAGTGCTTTACACTTTCACAGATTTGGCAAAGTAATTAATAAAAAATAACTGTATAGAGATCAGTAGGCTTGAACTTGGAGAACTAGGAGTGAGAAATTTTTATTAACTTATTGCTTCAGAAATGTTAGTGGCTGTGTGGTTGTATGATCAAACCTTCACCTTGTCTATTAATAAATATCTGTGACAGTCAATACAAGAAATTTAAACACACAGGAGTCACTCTTAAAGTTTACTGAAACAAAAAAGAAACTGTTATTGTTATTAATACCAATTTTGTATTTACATTGACTTAGTTAATAATTTTGGCAACAAGATGATGGGCAACTTTTGCATAGCACATTTAATGTCTTTTGCTCGGAAAGCAACTATAATATCTTCAAACAGATTTTAAGCRGCCTTTTCTGGTCAAGTTCAAGGGTGTGTTGTTACTGAGAGGAATGGGATTTGTCAGCTGGGCGGTTCTTGTCCCAACATGGTGGGAGCATGCACCATTGTATTCTAAGAGTAGACCCACAGAGTCCTGGAAAGTGCAAGACTCCCCTTCGAACTACAAATCACACAAAAATCTCTGAGTATTGAATTTCATTACTTGTTTCCAGCTTAAAWTACCCAGGACAAAGTTAGACAAAATTAACAAAACTCTGAGGTTAATTTTGGACTGGTTTAATGTCAGCTTGGGTTAGATTGAGTTTTATAAGGAAGCTGTTAAAAGCACAGCATTTTTCACTGATTAAATCAAGGGAAAATGAGTGGAGTAATACATTGAAAAATGTCATCCTAGTGCTGAGTCTAAATTTCCTCATCCCTCTTGCAATAACTTTTGTGTGAAAGAAACCAAAACCAGAACCATTGAACCATCATGCTTTTAGGGAGAAGGGGGGGAGAAAAAAAAAAAAAAAGGTATCTCTTACTTCTCTCTAATTTGTCATTTGGGTGGAAAGATGTTTGAGAGGTGGGGAACAGGAAAGCCCATCACACCAAAGAGTTGGTGTCAGCTAAAAGCAGCTGGACAGTCTGAGAACAAGGAGTGACACAACATAGCATAAAAGCCAAGGACAGCGGTGCATGCATCTCCTACTGCTCTCTACTAATTCCCATGAAAAAAGTGTCTGAGAAGGGTCTGACTTTGTTTCAGGAAAATTTTAACCGTGGCTTGAAGTCTATTTCCTTTCAGATAATTTTACGTATCATAAAGGATAGTTTCTCATACTTGGTTTTGCCTTTGAACTTTATATTCTGGTGATGCCGGAAGGATTAGTCTTTTTTCCTACTACAAAAGAAAAGTGTTTGTGTGCCTCAGAATGGGCAACTGGAAATCTGAAACAATGGGTGAGACCCACTGCTTCTGTAACACCAAAAAACTCATAAGTCAAAAAGTAAAAAAAAAAAAAATAAAATAAAATAGGGGAAAGATCTTTGTTATTCTGCTTTGTCTTTTCAAACCGAGAACAGAAACAACATAGAGAAAACCTTTGCAAGCAGGTTAATTAACAAGGCTATTCAAACAAAGAGAATAGAGATCAGGTATTGTGGCAATTGGTGGTTTTGAAAAGGTTTTTAATTAAAGTATGAAACAAAACATTCATCTTTGTTAAATATAGCTTCACATTTTTCAGTTCCAGGCTCAATTTAAATACACATCACATTTTGGTAAGTCATAGAAAAAAAAATCTTTAGGCAACTTTGTGTAGCTTCTTGCTTAGCAGTGACCCTCATTTATTTTCCAGGAGTTCAAAAGTTGGTTCTCCTTAGCCCAGATCAACCCATATATTACTCCCATGTTAATTATGTACAGAAAAGGAAACTTCCTTAATCTGCCTGCCACAATAGGGCTTTCTGGAGGTTTACTTTGAGAAAAAAACTCATATCCTTTCATTCATCCATGAGGTTTATGCTCCT